TTTCTGAATCGTTAGCACCCCCTGTAGAAGCAGGAAGCAGTACTAAATTAGGTAAAGAACAATTTCTTTGTTCATACAAATATACCTGTATTAGTATCTATATTTTAATTAATTGATGTTTGCTATTTACTCGTATATTGTGCTAATTATATTTATTACTGCATTTATACTTTGTTATTAAATTTGTTAATTTTATTTTTGTTTTTTTTTTCAATTTCCATTTAAAACAAAAAAAAATAAAATTTGGTGTAATTTTGAAATGCGCGCCTTTGGTTACGCTTCATAGTTTAATGTATAGATGGCAGTGAAATTCGAAGTTTTCTTTGCCAATACCATTTATATATATATTTCAAGTATCGTCTACTAATGTGGGGTAAACTTAGATGTCACTACTATCGTCCAAATCTCGAGAGTTTTACATCTATTTACCTAGTCTAGGGTTTCCTGTTTCTAAATAGTCATCTAATGTCTATGATAGTCATAGATAGTTCTGGTTCTTGTTCTATATGCGTTTTAGTCACATAGACATATATTAAAAGGCGTACCTTAGCCGTATGTAATTGTAATAATTTCTTGATTCGAAAATTGAGGAAGATGGCGTATGGTTTCGGACTAGTGCTATCTCTTTCATGATACGCTCACATACTAATGTGAGAGAGATGGATATTGTCCGAAACTTCGTTCCATCTCTTCCTTTTATTGTATCACACTTCAGACCACTAAGGCATGTCCATTAGTAAACGTCGATGGTATGTATCACACGGCCATCTACGCACACGACTAACCATCGACGTTTACTTATGGACATGCCTTAGCGGTCATAATTGTGGTACAACAAAAGAAAGAGATGGAATGAAGTTTCGGACAATATCCATCTCTCTCACAGTAGTGCGTGGGCGTGTCATGAAAGAGATAGCACTAGTCCGAAACCATACGCCATCTCCCTCACTCTTCCAGCCAAGAAATTATTACAACGACATACGGCTAAGGCACGTCCATTAATNTCTATTATTTTATAGTACTAGTGCAATCAAACGTTTCAAGACCGAATTACGTAGAATAACAGAAAACAAAACTGTCGTATATAGTTGATCCCGCGCTAAAAATTGGAACTCTGAAAAAGATCTTCTGCGACTTATGCTCTCCTAATACAAATTTTCAGATTTAACAAAATTTTCAGTTTTCCGTCATATACGAGGGCTGGTCAAAAAGTTATGGAAAATCAAATTTCAAAAGAACTTGAATTTTCAATTACTTTTCGTATAACCCTCGTATTTGGCTGAAAACTGAAAATTTTCATAAATTTCAACATTTGTATTAGGAGAGCATAAGTTGCATCGGGTCTTTTTCAAAAAACAAATTTTGAATTTACCATTACTTTTCAACTAACCCTCGTATTTCGCTCAAAACTGAAAATTTTCATAAATTTCAACATTTGTATTAGGAGAGCATAAGTTGCTTCGGGTCTTTTTCCAAGTTCAGAAAGAAAGCGCGGGATTAAATTTAGCTTTCAAATTGTTCAGCTTTTTTTCAAATTGTTCAGATCCAGACACACGATGGCTCTGGTTATTTTCAAAACTTGGCACAATTACCTTTCTTTTTAAAGTGTTCGTGCTATTTTATTTTTCTGTTCTTTAAGGCTGAGAATAAAATTAAAAACGCATAATTTGTTTATTTATTTATTTAAATACCAAAGAATGATAATACAATGAAAATACATTTATTATTTAGAAATACAATNCATTAATTCTCTCTCATTTATTGTATAACCTGCAGAAATGGACAAAAAAATATATTAATTACACTTATAATTAAGAAACACAAACAAAAACGCACCAAAAACCAAGTAAAATAGCTGAATTAAAAAATAAACAAACAACAAATTTACGCCATTTTACATCACAACCATAGATCACGACATAGGTTAACGTTAAATAACACGTCAATTTACGACATAAACAGAAAGATTAAAAAGAAAATCCATAGACAGATAAACTCCATAGATAGATAAACTTCATAGATAGATAAACTCCTTAGATACATCAATGATAAATACCAATTTATTCTGTGGAAAATAAAAACTGTCAAGTGATATTGATGAACAATAACCTCAATTTATAGTGTTGACAATAGCTAATTGTTAACAGAAATTTCATATCAGATTAATAAAGAGTAATTAATATCGATCAAGTTATGTATTCTCACCTCAATTAATTGTAGAAAGTGGCGTTCTAAAGTCTACCAGTGTGATGAGCAAAACAACCAAATCTAGGAGTGTACCACTGCAGATAATTTGTAGTTCCGGTTGCTTCCAAATTAATTAATTAATTTCTAATTGCCTCCCATTGTTACGGCAAAAATTAACTGCATAATGTTGCAAGGCGAAGACGTCAAAAGCATCGGTTGTTTTAGTAGCACCAAAATTAACTGCAACTCCTTCTCATTTGTGGGACAACAATCTATAACCAGGCAAGAAAAAGTAATTAATTACCATTTTTAAATCAAATAAATCAGTATAAATCAGTAACATGCACACTAATGGAAAGACCTGTTCCACATTAATTCTGCTTCTTCCATTTCTAAAACGTTGTTTAAAATTGTCTATTGAAGCAAATTACAAATGTCTAAGAAATTGAAGTTATCTAAAGATACCATTTACTATTTTTAACTGATACTGTTACATACCAGTTCATTGTCATAAATCCTTTTTCAGCACACCGTCTTCGTTCGCGATGAAAAATAGGCACTTTCATGCTTTCTTTAGAACCATGGGCACAGCTACTTTGAAGGGCAAATGAGAACTAATTCAACCAATGCTTCATAATTTCATAATTTAATGGTATCCGGAGTTCTTCTAATGTTCCTGTAAAATGAAATCTTATGAAAGTGTTCAGATATAATTAATTAAGTATTAAGTAAATAATGTGCACGATACATTGTTAAAGTAATGCTGAATCTTTTTCTTTGTTAATATCAAATAAATACACTACATATAGAAAGTATAGTATGCATGCTCACTTTAATTAACTACAAGAGCGTCCAAGATGAAAGGTGAACAGCTAAAACACCATAGGAGACGACTTATCTTTTCAGTAAGCAAAGATATCAGTTGCAATCTCTCTCAATTGTTGGCCAATCTGTGTAAACGGATAAAAACAATTATTAACTAATTAATTTAATAGATATCTGTTACGCAGAAAATTTAAATATTTAATCCCTTTCACTTTTCTCCCTTTATCTCAAATGAAAGTCAAAATATATGCGGAAAATGGATAAAAAAAAAAGAATTAAACACTCGTATTAAATAAATGAAACACGAAATAAAACAAAAACACGTAATAAAAAACCAGTCAAAAACGAATAAAATAGCAAAACATTAAAAATGGCGACGTAGCCACCTGATGTCTGTTTCAAGATTTAATCTTTAAAAATTTTGTCAATTTAATTTATGCTGTGAGCAAATACGAAGAATAATTATTGAATATGAATCAATCAAACTAACCTTTCAGACGAAGAACAAATTAAAACTAATTTTGCGAAAAAATTAGCTCGATAAGTTGAATTTAAGAGATGCGAAAAAACGTCCTTTCACCTCGAGACTTTATGAACTTATGATGTGCCAAACGCCTCTCAGGCTTGTCGTGAAATTGCGATTGCTACCACATGAAGCACTGATGACGTAGACAAACGCCAATCACATGCGTTAAATTCGATGTCTGCGACGCTGTAACCAATCGCGTGCTTAGTTTCATCCCCGTTTTACAGAATTCAATTTATCTGGGTTTTTGCTTCGTGCAAGTTCCATCGCCTGATCACTACTCGCAAACATATATATATATATATTTATGCATTTTTGGGTATAATAAAATTCGACCAAACGGACAAGTTGAATTTTTAAACATTAAACGAACGAAATTAAGAAACTAACTAATTGCACTATAACATTTTAGAACTACCTTATTGTTATTTTTAAAAAAATTGCACGCAATTAAAGTTTTTCTAGTAATTATACATAGTAATATTAACAAACAGTTTCTGTGGTTTAATTCTCCTATGTCCAAATTATTAATATCCTTGTTGTATAATATACGATACACAATGAATTTAATTATTCAGTATTTTAAGCTTTTATAAAGTTATTAGGTTTATGCAATATGTGGTTATTTTGCACCAAAAGATGACATAATATGTACTTTGTATACGTATACATAATGTAGAGTCAATTAATTGCATTCTGTTGTTTAAAAAAAACCAAAAGATGACATAAATAATATACAGACTATTGCTCATTTAAAAAAGGAAAAAACATTTAGCATGTATTATTATACAGGAACGTGGGAAGTTTTAGTTATAAAATCGTTGTGAAAAGACTGACAAGCATCTTTCGTTGGCATATGGGTGGGAAATTTTAGTTTTCATGGGAGATAATTTAAAATCCTTTTTTACAAGTGTTTTATAACTAAAACTTCATTGTTTTTTTGGCATGCGATTTAAAAACACGGATATTTATAAAAGCACAACGCTTTTTGAAAATGTAGAAATAAATTGTAGGCTGCAGGTGCCTATGAAAGAAATAACTTACAAATTTCTGAATCTTTGGACAAAAGATTACAAATTCTTGATATCGTTTTTATCGCTGTTACTTTATGCTAACGAAAAAAAGGGGTACATTACTTTTCTTCTTAATCAAACGCTACTTTTGATTAAGAAGCATCTATCTATCAGCTAAAGGAGGTTTGTTGGTGGAAACAAAAAAAATATCTCAAACTTGAGATAATGGAAGTTAATGATGAATTAGTAATGATAAGAGGGTTGATATGTAAGATAAAGTGGGGAAAAAATGTAATTTAGATTATATAGAAGAACAAATTGAATTCAGTAAGAATTACAACATGTTAGTTAGGGATTTTAGGGACTAGGAGAGATAATTGAAGAAAATGATATTTTATGCGAAACACAATTTGGATTTAGAAAGGGAAGGGGTACTATAGATGCTATCTTTTTGTTAAAATATATTATCGAATCATATTTAAATATAAAAAAAGGTGTTTGTATTATTTGTGGACTTAAAACAGAGAGACAGACGAGAATTGATAAACATGTTAAGGATGGGTAAAATTGAAGAAGGGATAATTGGGAGTTGTAAGACTAAGCGGTAGGGAGACAAGGAAATTTTGGATGGAAATAGGTGTAAGACAAGGTTGTAAGTTAAGTTAACAACTGTTTAAAATATACCTAAGTTATTTAGAAAATGAGATCAGTAAATAAGGAAGGGTGGGGTAGTGGTAGGTAGAGAAGAAAATATGGACTTTATCGTATGCTGACGATATTCCCTTACTAGCCACGAATTGTGGTGCATTAAAAGATATAATGGAAATATACTTAAGAAAGAAGTGTTTGGAGTTAAATGTTAGTAAGACTAAGTACATGGAATTTGGGGAAGTAAGAGGTAGAAAGGGAAAAGAAAAAAAGATAATTAGATGGAAAGAAGGAAGAGACAGAAAAGGTTAAAAAATATATATGTCTAGGATATGTTATGGGAGAAAACAACAATAATAAAATACATATAGATACGCAACAAGGCAAAAGCAAACGCCTTGTTAGGATGTATATGGGGAATAGGGCATAGATTATACAGGAACGCTTGGATTAGAAGAAAAAGGTTGTTTGATTTGACGGTTAGAAATATTTCTTTACGGGGTAGAAGTATGGGGGTGGAAAGAACAGAAACAGGTGAAAAACAAACAAGAAATATATAAAGTGCGTGTTGCGTTTGGACAGACATACACCAGATTATGTTGTACAAAGGGAATTAAAATGTGGGAAGATGGTAGAGGAAACCAAAAAAAGGGTGGTAAAATACCAGATAAAACTTGAAAAGCTTATGGATGAGGATATAAGAAAGGAATCACAGAGGAAAACAATTTTAAATATTCTAACAAAAACCAGGTATGATAAAGAAAGGGATGGTGTATTAGACGATTTAAATTTGAATCAGGAGCTAAAGAATGAATGGGGCCGAATGGGGGTATGTGTTGAGGAAATGGTGAGAATAAGATATTAAGAGATGATAAGGGCAAAAAACCTAAGAAGTATTGATAAGTCGGGATAATTGGAATGTCTAAAGGCGTTGCTATGGTAGCATGGGCAGGAAGACTGTTTGCCAGACTATCTGAATAGAATGAAGGAAGTGGACATATTTTCAAGGTTTAGAGTAAGAAATGAATCTAGAAAATGTAAGTATTGGATGAAAGAAGAAGAAATGATATGTAGGATATGTGAAAGGGGAGATGAAACAATGATGCATGTGCTGGGAGGATGTGAGGAAAGCATATATTTGGATGATTGTAAGTAGATATTAAATGGGAGTGGCGATGGATTGATCCTACCAAAAAATATAATAAAAAAAAGAACGGGTTCAGCTTAAGTGATAGAAGAGAGGGGTGTAGTTTAGATACAAAAAAAATGGGAGCATAAAGCAGAGAAATTTGTATGTATGCTATAGGATGATAAGTAAATATTTTCATTTTCCTTTTTTTTGCATGTTATGTTTTCGTAGGATAAATTTATAAAATTAGTATTGTATTTAAGGTAAAAAATTGAATTTTCTGAGGCCGTTAAGGAGAAGAGGGCACATTGCATGTGATATTTGTAAATAATTTTTTTTGTAAATGTAAAAGATTTCAAAAATAACAATGTTTAAATAAAACAAACTACTAGTACCATGATAATTTGAATTTAAAATACATATGGTTTTAGATACTGCTCGTCCTTATACAGGCAACCCACTTTACTGCAAAGTATTCTGGGCGTCAGGCTGCAGTAAGAGTTCTGAATTCCTTTACTTATCAAAAACTGTATTTTTGCACAAACTAAAGTTTGCAATTGCCTACATCTTCAACTAAATAATGGACAATCTAACGGTATTATACAATGAAGTAACATATGCTCGTCATCCTATACATTATGTTAACCCAATTGACAACAGATTAATAAAGTGCATTTTATATTAATTTAACTGTGTATTATTACCTGAATTAGCTGTAGAATGTAACATTCCAAGGTTTACATGTGTGAAAAGCAAACCAAATTGAGAAAGGATACCAGTGAATACATCCCATGTCCTCATTGCTAGGGTCAAAATAACTTCCTAATCTGCCTTATTCATTAGCTAATCTGTAGAAACGAACAAAAAAATAATTAAATACTTTTAATTAATAATATTTTATTAATTAGGAGAATAAACATGCCACCATTTTTAATGCTTATCATTTTTCTTCTGATTCTCAAATTAAAATAAAAATGGAAGTATACATACTTTATATTACAGTTTAAAAAAAATAAAATAAAATAAATGATCTTCCCTTGTATTAAGCTAACATTCAGTCCAGAATAATTCTGCTACTCTGCTTTTGACATTTCTGAAATGTTATTTAATATCTCTCTATTGAAAGTAAGTTGTAAATGTCTAAGAAATTGAGGATTCTAGGACCTTATCTATTATTTTTAATTGTTACTTACACATTATTAATAAAATTAACTGTTCGAATACATTTTTAATCACACTTCTGTCTATTTAAACTAAAAGTATAATTACGATTTACAAGAGGTTTTAAAATTTTACCTAAATTGTTATGTCCTTTCAGTTCTATTCTAATTCAATCCTCATTAATAACGTGTGTTATTTGTGGGCCATTTATCTAACATTAATCAAGCAATATGTAAAGGACAATATTTTGTCCTCCTTATTGTGTTAACTTCTGTGTAGTGCATTCATTATGTAGACAATTCATTGCGACAAATGAACAAGCACCTTTTGAGGTACTGCTACATTCCTGAGAGAAAAACTGCTACAATCAATGCTCCACAACATATAACGCCATAGTTTATATACAGCCCTGTGGAATAAAGAATAGAATTTTAATAAACCATATTTACCAGAATAATCATGCATCAAGTATTGCTATTAATTTTAGTATTTTCATTATCTCCGGAAGGATACATACATACATACTATGTTAGTACTAAGTATTGAATTGTATGTATTTAATATTGATATTAGGTATTACAGTTTTTAGTAACTAGCAAATAATTGTAAACAAAATTACATAATTTTAAAAAATTAATTATTTAACAAAGAACGTCAAAATGTTCAGCAACGCAAATTTTATTATAAAAGAACTTACCGTAATAAACTGCAACATTCAATTTGAAGAAAAGCGGAAACAAAATGCAGGTAGCACTTTTTCTATAAAAAAAAACATACAATATAATAAATGGTTTACGAGTATTTACTTGCGCCATGACTTGAGGAACTACTTTACTTACAAAAGGATCAACAAAAAAGTCAATTTCCGAAAAAATCAATGTGCACATTGTGATAAGCAATATTTCATGATTTCGACTACTACATGATCGCCAGCAAATGTTTTTACCCAATTTCTTTTTATTTCTTACCTACAAAATGCAATAATAATGGCTGTGCAATTATACCTTCACCACTCGTTCAAATAAGGATGGCAGACGCCATAGATAATAGGATAATGAATTTGTATGTGACCTGTCTATGCTTGTACGATACTGAACTATACTAATCTATGGATTGTTATCATAGATGGAATTGCATTATTATTATTAAAATGGCAACGTGACCATAAACACAGACAAACCATAATCAGAAATGACGCTTTCAGTGGTTGCATTTGTCATAGGTAATTTATAATGTAGAGGTATAGATATTTATGAAAGGAAAACCACAGATGCATATGATTAAAATCGACATTTCTACCCTTTGTATATCTATTATCTATATTTCTAGTTGTTCTGACAATTAGACGATTACTTTACAGTAAATATGACCAAAATCCTGTAATTTCACTAGGATTTTTAATAATAAATGAATTTGCCTTATCCAAAATTATCTCCTTATACTTCTCATATTATTAACCAAATAGTTATCACGCTAGGAGGGATTTTTGTTTCATAATCTTTTAATTCACATCTGCAGTGCTTATTGTTAGTATTTTTGTATTGTCCGCATATAATCAGAACTCATAACAACATAAAATACTAGGTCCTTCACACTTCGCTATATAGAGGTTTACGCTGTATTTAACATGTTTTTTGATTGATTTAATGAATTGTCTGAAATTACTTAAATAACATATTCAGTTAATGAATGCCGACGTTCTAATAAGCGAAACTGTATTTTAATATCCAAGATACAACGGAGCACTCACCTTGTAGGATAAAACGGTAGATAGCCAAAAACCGAAGAAATACTCTACATTTGTAAGAAAAATCTAGACTAGTGCTGTTAGAGTTTTGGGAATAACAAAAAGAAACCAATTAATAACATAACATTTATGTATTAAATGAAAATAGTTGATAAATAAATTCGTTAATTTTAGTAAGCACTGTTTGAACAAGCAACTGAATAACAAAACAATTTACAATCTGCAATTTGAAATATATTTCAGTGGGACAATTAATTTCTATTTGGCGAAAATGCCGACGCTTCTACGATTTTGATTAGTTGTGAACAGTGCATATATATATATTTATTTATATATATATGTATCTATATAAATATCTACACAGCACATGACTGCATTTTCCTTTATTCCAAGCAGTACGTGCATCATTTGATGTTTCGAATGAATGCCAATAGTACCGTACATTAAAGAGACACTATCGTAAGGCTTTTTATAAGAACCTCAAAATTCAATATTTGCATTTACAAAAAGAATTTTACATACAACATGACTAGTCAAGTCAAAGTCCTCTTACTGGAAGAATAGTACATAATCAAAATCCTGATCAAATATACATTCCTTCACAGCACGCTCACAACACGTGTGATACTACTTTGACGAAGTGCTTGTTAGCTCTAACAGACACATCATTAGCTACTGCAATTTGCGGGGGTCAAATAATTTAAAATTATGTATAAATAACAATCCATATAAACATACATAGAATGTCAATCTTTTTACCAAATTAACAGCAGGTAGCTAATAAAGATTTTAAAACTTAATCAAATAATTTACAAAACCTCTCGTTGCAATATAAATAAATACGTAAAAACTATTTCGTCAACTACTATATACTAAGTAAGTATAATATTAAAGCACAATTTTTATTCACCAGCATAAATTTCTAATGTTTGATAAAGTATATTATATATGGGTAAAATAATACTGTTGTAAATAAATTTAAACGAATGAAGTAAAGGCACTTACATTATCATTGAAGTGAAGATGATGTGCAGCGAGCATGAATCGTAAATAAGTTCTTATTTGATCAGGATTTTACAATCGCAATAATTTTCAGTCCGTAAGATATTATAATATGTATAAATGTCAACACTGTTGGAATTATTGCACCTTTCCACTATTTAACTTTGTTCGAAATAAAAATTACAATTACAAAGTTGCAATAAATATTGACTCACACTGTCGAACATATGAAAATTATTAACGGTTAACATATTTTATTAAGCACCTAAAGTACAATTAGCTTATGAAGACTCACATCAATAAGTCTGAAAAAAAAAAAACGTACATATTAATAAACTTTTACCTATTCATTATTAGTTCAGTTACCAGCTTTTGTGTTATTTTCCTGCCAACCATCGTTCGAATTAATTGAATCGTCCGTATTAATCGTGTTACCTATTACTGTATTTGCGTTTTTAAGAGAATCCAATTGAATTCTGTAAACGGCAATAATTAATACGTTCATTTATTTACTATTAAAATAATGTCTTACTTACAGATTATTAACGGTTTCTACATCTTTCTCGTTTTTATGGCCATTTTCAGTAACAGAAATTTTATTCTCTGTCAAAATTATCTTACTTTCTTCCAATTTATTAGTTTCTACGTTGCTCTTAATATTCTCGTCGATTTCTTTATTTTCAAACGTCTCTATTTTGGACCCATTCATTTTCTCAGACTTGTTTTCTTCATTCTTTTCTTCAGACTACAAACAACATAATAAATATAACATTGAACAATAATTAAGCAATTAGTTTAGAACCTGAGGAGTTGCACCAGAATTAGTTTTTCCTCTAGTTCTTAGCATAATGGCTTCAACCCTCTTTCGCCTAGCTTCCCTTTCTTTCTCTTCATTTTTAAGTTTTTCTTGAAGTTCAGCTTTCTGCCTTTCTGCTTCTTCTCTTGCTTTCCGTTCGGCTTCTTCTTTTAATAACCTCAGTCTCTGTTCTTCCTCCTTTCTTTGCTTTTCTTCTTCTTCACGTTTCTGTGCTTCTCTAATGGCCTAAAGGTGTTTACATTTTTCAATATTCATTCTAATAATTTTTGAACATTCATTCAAATGATAATATATATTAAATAATACTTTTAATACTTTAAGTTACCTCTTTTAAACGCGCCTCTTCGGCTGCCCGCTGTTGTTCAATAAGAAGTCTTTGTTGTTCTTCTTCTTTCTGTTGTCTTTCTAATTCAAGTCGCGCCTCTTCCTCCAATCGCTTCCTTTCCATTTCGGCTTGTCGTTCAGCTTCTTCTCTTGCAAGTCTTCTCCTTTCTGCTAAAGCTGCCTTTGCTTCTTCTTCGGTTGTAATAAGTCGCTTAGAGGAAAACGAAGTACTCATATCACTAACTTCAAGTAATTCTGAAGATACAGCTAACTGTTGCTGCTCTTGTTGTACACTCTCAAGAGTTTTATCTTGAATTTGGCTGACTTGCTCCACTACTTTCCTTTGTTCTTGTGGTTCTACACTAGGTTTCTCAACTCTTGTGGGCTCCTGAGATGGTTTTACAATTTCTTTGTCAACTAGTATAGCAGCAGCAGCCGATGATGGCTGTTCTACTTGAGCAGGAATAATTTCATTTTGGTTTTCTACCCTAAAAATGTATAAAACTTTATTATTAATATCAAAATACCTCACAACATATATGCATATTTTTATACACACTTTCTTATTAAAAATGAAAACTTACGGTTGTGGGAGTTGAATACCGTTGTTCTTGTCTTTTTCTTCGTTCTCAGTGCTATCACTTTCCTTAACTATACTCTTGTTATCCACTGGACTTTGAAGAACTTTCGGTGTGGAAGCCGGGGAGAGTGCTGACTTGGGAGAGGCGTCGGCTGTCTTTTTTCTTATAATTTTTTCTTGGGATTTTTGCAAGCTAGACTTACGCGCTTTCGGAATCGGTGGTTTATTTTCTTTTTTCATCTCTACAGGACCATTCTTGATTTGATCGCTCGTTATTCCGGTCACTGCAATGCTCACTGGACGTTGCCGTTTTGGTGTAACCGATGTGCGATGACGTACGCTAACAGAGGAGCTTGCCACGCTGCTTGCACTCTGTTGACTTAATGAACTACCCGGTCTTGAAGGCCCTGCCACATAAACGTACGTTTTCACTTTAATCGACAATCATAATTACAGATTAAAACTAAACAGTCGTAATCACATTTATATAAAAAAAATAAACGCCGTGAAAATGACACAGGATTAGATTGCTTTTACTTCTTTTTAGTTACATTTCGGGTAGCATTAGAACAGGCTTACTTTCCACTGAATTTTTAATAACCGAAATTAAAGAGTAAAGAACTTTGTGAGTGTTTTACAATACCAACTTATACTTTTATATATACAAGTTATGGTTAGTTGTAGTTACCATTTCGACTGCTAACTTATTGTTAAGGGTTAATGATATAAAATAAATTAGTCACTATCATAGACAAATGCGTGAAGGAAAATGTTGGGAAGGAGTAGGAAATTCTGAGCCACCACCAATGAAAAATTGTAATATTAAAACTAAGATACATTTTTAATAGTTATATGAAAAAAAGCAAAAATGCACAGAAAAAATAATATTTTATACCCATCTACTTTAATAAGATATTACAATAAATGTAATTTTTTGATATACTGAGCAGATATAGAAAAATGCCTTTCTACATTAACTTACAACTCTATTCCTTGTGTTGCACCACCAACTTTATTATTACACCTGTCTTACGTTACTAATGCAAATTTGTGTTGTACTTGAATATGAAAAGTACTTGATATTTAATATCAAATTACATAAAAGTAAGAAACAGTACAAAATAGTTTTATGAAATTGAAACGTTTTTCTCAATAAAGCACTGATGCAAAGAAATGTAGAATAATTAGAACAATATGTATAATAGTGAAATTAAGTGAAAGAAATGAAAGCTTTAAGTGTATACAGCAATAGATGTTTAGCCATTGCCCGCCATTATTCGACCAAACCAACGTATTTATTATTAAAGGATGTTGTGTAATTTTTCTAAATTACCTTCGACCTGAGAAGGGCTCACGTTGGTTACGAGCTTTTTCTGACGAAGCTCGGCTGTCCGAGTGGTGCGTGGTGGGGGCAATGGTGCAGCGCTAAGTTGGTGCATACTGCGACTATCGGACCTGCGCATTGGACGTTGGGGCGCATTATGGGGCGCCCCCGCTTTGCCAACCGCAAGGTGGCTCATACTACGACTCACACTAGAATGATTAGGACGGGACAGGGGCTTTGAAGGAGGGGGTGTTGTTTCCGAAAGAGTAGGCAGTTCAACTGTTCTCTTTCGAGGCTTAGCCAGCTGATCTAAACGGGACATGGAATACGCCCTACCTGGTGAACGTGCGAATGGTTTGCGGGGCGGAGTTGTCGGTGAATCTTTTGATGGGATTGTAGGCATCAGATCAGTTCTACGACGCCCTACGTACCCACTTACACATCCTGCTGGGTACTGAGGTGTTGTTGCTACAAAATAAAAAGGTTTCCATTGTTTACTTTATTATATCAATCAAATTTAACATATACAAAGCTATGTCGACAAGTTTTTTCAATACGAGAACTAGTAGTCCAGATTTTGTGCTTAAAAATTTAATATATCATATATAAATATAAACTTTTGTAACATAAATAGTAAGTAGCTACCCAAAAGCTAAAATTACTACGCTAAAAATACAAGATAATTATTCTAGTCATTCCAAGCGATAATCCTGCGACTATCCTAGTTAACAATCAATATAATTAGTAAACGGGATTCAAAAATTTGGACGTTTTCATTAGAAAACTTTTAAACAAATAAAAAAAAATATCTGCTGCTCTAATGACACATTTTGCTTCCCTTCACCAATGCGTTCATACTGGAATCATCAATCGCTTACTTCATATAATGAAATATTTAAAAAAAAAAACAGACAATGTGCATTCTGCTATTTCGGTTTTGAAAATGTTCAATAGTTTAAATTATCACAAAGCTTATAGTTTTAAAGTTAATGATTGGAATATAACTGTTGATTCAACTTTTAGTGCTACTGGCAAATTATTGCGTTACTTGGCAGTATTTACATAAAAAAGTAATATTTTTACACTTTAATAGGCATTACAAATTATCGCAAAAACATCAAACACCACATTGACACTAAAAATTGTATGAAGAACATGAAGAATAAACACAAAAATTGAACTGTACTTTTTCAATTATATCTGACGAAATTGTTCTTGTAGGTCATTTTTTTAAAATAAAAAAAAACCTTATGAACAAAAATATTGCACTTTTTAAAAATAAGCAGATCAAGGTGTAAAGTTTAATACGAATTATTAAAATTTAAGAAAATAATGACTTCCACTGTTACTGATTTTATACATTTGCAAATTCTAAAAGAGAATATGTAACAACACAAACCGCTTGGAATGACTAAAAGGTGCCAGAAATGGGGAATGTAAGTAAATACTATATTGTGAGAAAGGGGGGTACAAATAAAAGATGATTGCACAGCATTACACAAGAAGTAAAAGAAGAAACGAAGCAAATAAAGAAAGGAACAGAATAAGTGCATGAAAACTGGCAATTCGCAATCAGTGAATATCCTATAGTACCAAGAGATGAAGTGTTGAACATGTTTGGGTGTGCAGGAGGAATGTGGGACATACTAGAGTCAGACGTGGCTTCCCAATGGAAAACCTCATACATAGACGTAGACATTCTCATATCTGAAAAAATAATATATCTTGGCCACGTCAAGGACCTTACAGAGTGTAAATGGAAACCAATAAATCCATTTTTCTGTCTTCATTGAAAACAAATAAATACAATAGAGAAAATGCATTTTGAAAAAAATTTTACGTAAACTTCTTGCAAATTTTGATGTCAGGTTTTAGTTGTGGTAATTTCCTCTGTGCATTACTGCAAGTAAATTTAAATTTATGTTCTTAAAATACTTTGGGACACCCTATGAATGTGGACAGAGAGCCAAGAAATATATAAGGTGAAATAGTTGTTTGGTAAGATATACACAGATATTCCTGATTAATTCAAATAATCAAAAACAAAAATAACTTTAGTCGCTATCGCAAAAATAAATATAAACAAAGCTACAACCTTCCTACGACAATTAAATAAATGAAACTGATAAAACAGTTGTAACTAAACAATAATTGCATTTTCCCTGTTGCAAAATACAAACTACAACCAACGTACGTGGTAGTTTAAGTCACATACATACCTTCTGACCTTTCTAAACCTCCAGCAGAAGTAGCCCTTTTTTTACTTCCCCCATCTAGTTCTCTTTCTGACTGTCGCCTTGTAAGGGGAGCTGCGTTATAGGTGATATTGTGTGTTGATGTAGCCCTTCGATGACCCCAAAAAGAAGCAGCATTATCTAAAGGTTCTAACATACGCGGAGTAGACGAGCCGAAAGCAAAAACCATGGAACTCCTTTCATTTTTTTTCTTCGCTTCTATCCTAGCTTCCCTTTCCTGATTTCTCCTAATAATAGACTCCAGTCTTTCCCTCTCAGCATCTTCGATCATTTTTTTCCGCTCTTCTACCTGCTGCCTATGTGACTCCTCTCTCATTTTAAGCTCTTCCATACGTTTTCTTCTTTCTTGTTCCTTTTGCTCTTTAAATCGTTGCGCTGCCATTGCGTGTGCCTTGATTTCTTCCAATTTCTTGTATCTCTCTTCATTTTGCCTTTCTTTGAATGACTTTAATCTACTTTCCCGCTCGTCTAAATCAAAATATACCATACATTAGTCGTTGAGTACATGAATAGTAAAAGAATATATATGTAATGAGCTTAATTACTCTGTTATTAAAGTACTAATATTTTTTATCAACTGTGTAAAAAACGTAGACTCAAAAAATTTCCAATATTACCAAGAAAACGCAATTACCATATTTAGGCTTGTTTTCTTATCACCCCCTAACAAGTAATTGGAGTTGGATATGTCGATTATAAAAAAAAATAAAATTTAATTATCGTCCTACGCAAGAGAAAATTAATTGTACATCTTACAGATAAAATTTAGTTGCTGTTACATCTAGATAAAAAAGTATAAAATTTTTATGCATCATATGACGATTACTATATAAAACATTAAAACTCTATGTTTCACACATAAAACAAAAATATTTAGAAATCGAAAACGCGTTTCGTCACCCAAGGTGTCATCGTTAGTCTCTAACTAAACATTTTATATTTCACCTTCAAGCTGAGTTAGAAATAGATAAAATCTCATTACAAATCTTTAAGTTCATCAGCACGTAAGCAAAAGATATTAGAAATGTTTAGGTGCATATATGAAAAACAAAAACATTTCAGCAAAACACATTAACGATATTAGTAAGAGATTACAGAAATTTAATACCACAATACATACAAAAATATGAGAAACTACAATTCCGAATTAAACAATTTTATGTGGTGTTAATGTATAACTAACTGTATTTAATACATTAATAGTTCCCTACGCAAAAGGGTCATCTATCCTTTCAAGGGTACTTTAACTTTAGTCTTTTACAGGTATATTTTTTAAGTCACAAAAGATAAGACTAACCCAGTTTTTGATTTCCCATTTAATATCGATTCTTTGTCGCTTTTATAACAGTAACTTTAGGCTGCAAGCAGGAAAATCTTTTGTTAAAAATTTTCAAGAGTAACAAATACATGTATTCATGAAACACTCAATTGTAGAACTTAAATCAAGATTTTATTGAGCTTTCTAGAAAGATTTAAAATTTCGTCTATATTTCAATCAATTACTAATCTTTGTTTTTGCAATAGTAAACCATAATGTAATTTTTACCTACCTATTCTCATTACGTAAAAATAAAAGCATACTGAAAGACTAATTACCATTAATTTTATATATACTAAAATTATAATCATAAGTACTTAATTTTATATTGTTAATTATAACAATATACTTATTTAATGCTTTTAGTTTTATCGTAAAGAACAATCCCCTCTTTTCGATTTTTTTTTAATTGTACAAAACATCTATTTATAATCTAAATAATTAGGTACCTCCTAAGTACTTTATAATATTCACACTTCTATTGCATACATAGCATGCAATACAAGCTTTAACCAATAAATAATATAGGCAAACCAAACATTATTAACAATCAATTTTGGATGCAATTATATGCTAATTAATTAATTTTAACATCAAACTCATGTAGATGCATTAATGTAAAACAGAAAAAAAAAAACAAATATAAACATTGCTCAAACATATCGTTACCTTCGTACTCAGGGGGATCTGGCCCCACATACGCAAACCAGTGCATTGTTGCACCTAAAATATTATTCTGTTTTAACTAAGCATGATTTAGCAACAACAGTTACAAATTTAAAACCGACTGTATGTATAATATTATATTATTGTGGCATATATTATATAT